GAGAGGAGGTTTTCTCAAGGACAGAGTCCCCCAGTGCCTTTAGTCTTTTGGGAGTCTAAAGAGAATCTTCTGTTGCTCTGCATTAAGGCCTTCCCACTCTGGACAGCCTTAATACTAGCTACATGGGGACTGTTGGGGTATGGCATGGTTAGTGGGCACATCTCTTCTGGTGTGGGGAGCCAGATAGCCTCCTTTAGTGTGTGCCACGTGGGATGGGTGAGCAGTGATGAGGAGTGGGCAGTTGCAGCTGAGTACGGACATCCCTAGAAGCAGCCCCTGGGATCAGAAGACCAAGATGGAGGCCTGGGCCAGGTTAGAGACTGTGTGGACATTCTCTAACCTTCCTGGACTTCTGCCTCTGCAGCTGTAAAATGGGGCTAACATCTGCCTCATCGTGTCATTGAAAGGATTAAGTTGGGGCATGGAAAGCCTCTACAGGATGCAGACCCTTCCAACTGCCTAGTAACCTTGTTGAGAAAGGAAGTTGAGAAGTCGCTCTAACTTCAGTTTCCTCATTTGAAAAATAGGGATAATAATACGTACCCTGTGATAATTAAATGAGATGAAACACAGGAAAGAACTTTGAAGGGGTAAATCTCCACATAAGTGTTACTGTGTGTGGGCACGTGCAAATGGTTGGGCCTCAGGTATGTACCAGTGCCACTAGCAAGCACCTGAGTTCCTAGGCAGCCGGCACAGCAGATTTAGATTGTGCTAGCAGAGAAGGATGTGTGCAGTGCTGGGGAGAGTAAAGGACACAGAGGTGAAAGAGCTGGTCGTGTTGTAGAATCTCATGCTGGGACTTGATTTCAAAATCCGAGCACGAAGTTAAAACCATACATAGTTAAATTTAATTATCCTTCAAAGTCCCCAGACTGGCTCACAGAGTGTCTCTCCTTTAGTCCAGAGAATCGGCTCCTCTTCCAGCATAGGAACAGGTTGCCTTTTCTTCGGTTGGGTACCAGCTTAGGTTTCAGGACCATGCTAAATTAAACCTTAGCATTGCACAGTGAGGGGCACATGGGAGCTGAGAGCCGTGGAGGAAGTGGTAGATTCATAGTTCCCATTATTCGTAACTCTTATGTCAGGCTCACTCGGGTCTTATACTCATTTCAGCTTTCCATCCTTTAACAAATATTTATTGATCACTTACTGTGTGTCTGATGCTGTGCTAGACACTGGGGAACGGTAGTGAAAAAAACCAGACCATTCTACATTACATTCTAGTCGGGGAGGTGGACAATAAACCAAAAATGTCTTGGTTTGCTAGATAGGAGTGCTATGGGAGAGAAACAAAGCAAGATGTGTGGGTTAGGGGGTTCTGGAGTGGCCAATTGCAATTTAAATGGAGTGGCCTGGGAAACTGATTTTCATAAGCCCTGTAGGAGAATAAATGAGTGCTATGGAATGGCCAGTGCAAAGGCTCTGAGGCAGGTGCTGCCTGCGTGTTTGTGTACAGTGAAGAACCCCATTGTGGCTAGTGGGGGGAGGGAGGAGAGCCATGGGGATGAGATCTGATGTTGTAGAGTGTTATAGGTCATTGCAGGCTGTTGGGCTGACCTTGGCCTTTTGTCTGGGCAAGAGAGGAGTATATTGGAGAATTTTGAGCAGAGGAGGGATGAGATGCTTACCAAGATCATTCCGGTTTCAGTGTTGAGAAAAGCCTGAAGGACAGACAAGGGAACTAGTTAGGGGACTCTTGCAGTGGTCTTGGTGAGACCTTGGCTTGAACCAAGGTGGTAAGAACTAGTTTGCTGTGGATATTTTGAAGTTAGAACTACCATTGCATTTACTGTCAGATTGGGTCAGGGTTGAACAAGGACATAAGTACAAGGGAACCTCTGAGGGTTTTATTCTTAAGTCTCTGGATAGACTTGCTATTAATTGAGGTGGGGGAGCTTATCGGAGGAGCTGGGGGACAGGTTTGGACAGGTTAAGTTTGAAGTCCTACCAGACACGCAGGGAAATGTGGAATGGGTAGTTAGATGTGTATGAATTTGGAGCTCGAGGGTAAAAGTTCGGGCTGGAGCTCTGTTTGGGAGTCATCAGTTTATAGTTATTTAAAACCGTGCTACAAGGCTAAGATCTCCCAGGGAATGAGTATAGGTAGCTGGGCTCGCCAATGTTAAGAAGTAGGGAGATGAGAAGGAACCAGCTGCAGAGACTTCTGGGAAGGAGTGGCTGGAGAGGTGGGAAGATAATTAGGGGAATATGGCATCCTGGATGCAGATGTTGAAGGCAGAGAGGCGTGGAGAGAGATGCTCACACTGTTTGAGTAGTCATTCCTTTCTCTCTGAGCACTGGCAGCTGTATTTGAGAATGTGAAGTACACAGGATGCAATTCCACCTTGTCATGTTTGAAAATGCAACATAGGGGCGCCTGGGTGGCTTAGTCGGTTAATCAGGTAACCTTCTGCCTTCGGCTCAGGTCATGATCTCTGGGGGCCTGGGATTGAGCCTCGAGCCCCGCATCAGGCTCCCTGCTCAGTGGGGAGTCTGCTTCTCCCTCTCCCCTCTCTGCCACCCCCCCCCCGGTGTGTACGCACTCTCTCTTTCAAATAAATAAAATCTTAAAAAAAAAAGAAAAGAAAATGCACCATTCCAGCCGCGTGTGGGAGTCTAGGAATGGCTGTTGGAAGGAGACAGGCACAGCATACGGTTCCTGTGCTCTGCTCTAAATACAGCTTGGAGGGCTTCTCTGAGACTCGACATGGCAGTGGCCTGGCCCAGGGAGACTTGGGCATGCATCTAGGCACTGTAAGCTAGTTTCCCCATCTGTAAAATGGAGATTTGATAACCTCCACCCTAGAACATTTATGAGGATTCAAAGAGAAACTGCACCTGAAGTGTTCAGCCAGGCCCAGGAACTTACAAAGTTCTCTGTAAATGTTAATGATGCTGTGACTCACCAGGCCTCTGCTGTGGGTTCGAAATGGTGCAGTGCAGGTTCCTCACTGTGTCAGCCTAATGGGGATACTTCGAGCAGATCCACTCACCCCTTTCTTACCCCCCAGTGAGTCACACCACTCTTGTCATTCCAAGAAATCTTAATTTCTTTATTGTTTGATTTTTTTTTGACTCAACAATTTTTTTTAAACTTTTTGTTTTTTTCTGAAACGTTCTTGTTATGAGCCTTTTGTTTTGTTCTCGTTAAATGCACTCGACCCAAAATTGGTTTGGCATATCGAAAAGGAGACCAAGGAGAGATTGGGGTGGGGGGAGGGATGGGAGAGAGGGGAGGAGGCCCGAATGGACACAGAGAAATCGAGGGTGAAAGAAGAGGAACATAGAGACAGCGAGAAAGACAGGGAAAGAGGTGGAGACAGAGAAAGGAAGGCAAGGGAAACAAAAAAAAAACACCCCCCCCCAAAAAAAAACAACCCAGAGAAAAATATTAGATTTAAAAGCAAATGAATTCAGGAGCCCAAGGAAGGGAGTAGGAGAGGAAACCAAGACCCTTCCTTCTCTATACCGTCCCAGCTGGGGTGGGGTGTCAAGGCACCAGGTCTGGTTGGGGTAAGGGGACACCTGGGCTCTTGGGGGTAGCTTTGCACTAGGCTGAAGTGGTGTCCAACCCCACCAGGGGGCCCTGCCATGCAGATCTGAGGCCTGGGAATTCACCTCGGTGATTTTGGCTGGAATGGGAACCTAGGGACCCACCCCACCCTCTCTCCCCTTGATTGTCAGTGTCTGGAGAGGAGGGTTGGTCAGGGGCGAGGAAGTGGATTCCTCGTATACCTCCAGTCCCCCAGGGAACTCTCCTGCCAAGCCTACTCTCCTAGCCCTCTTGCTGGTGTCAGAGGCAGCCTCTGGCTCTAGCTGGGCTGATGCCAGGCCAACTCCATCATCCCTCCTTTTACCAGCTCTTCACAGACCTCTGGCTGCCCCTGCCTACAGTGGAGTTCCTGGCCTAGTGATGCCAAGGAAGGCCACAGAGCTGTCTGGGCAAGACTGTCCCTATCCTTATTTCTCTTCCCCATCCAGACTTACACACGGTCTTCAGCTGAGTTAAGCCTTTCTACCCAAAAATCTAGTGATGGAACCCAACCCTGCCTTCTCCCCACACCTGTCTCCCTACATGGGACAAACCACCATCTTTGGTCTGACCCCTTCTCCCCTAACTGATGGGGACAAGCCAGCCCCAGCTCCCCAGAGAAGGGAGGGGCTTTCTAGCAGCAAAAAGGGTTCCTCCAGCCACCTACCTGTCCCTTTCCCCCAGTTCCTCCCTAGAGCCTCCCCCCTTAACCCAAAGAAGTTTATGGCAGCAGCAGGCTGAGACCCGAGGATGTTTGAAAACTCATGGCACTTGTGAGAAAAGAGAGAGGGGCAAAAGAGACAAGAAGGGGTCAGAGTAGAGGTGGAGGGCCACCCCTGGGAGAATGGCAATGACAGGGCTGGGCTACTGTGGCAATGGGACTACCCTACTCAAAGAGTTGGGGGGGGGCGGGGTGGGAAGGCCAGGGTGAATGGCTGGAGAAGAGGGTACTGGAAGAGGTACTCAGGAGACATCCCCAGCCCAGAGCTTCCGGAGCCTAAGGTTTGGGGTAGAGCGCTTGGTATAAGAGTGTCCTGACTGCAGGCCCTGATACCTGGCTTTGCCTCCCCTGCAGGAGGGCGTAGGGTAGGGAAGATGATCTCTCACCTTTGCAGCCCCCCTCCCCCCAAGAGAGAAGACAACTTCATCACTCCCAGCCTCCCTTTCACTCCCACCACCTGCTGCCTTCACTTTTCTTCCCCCATCACCCGCTCTAGGTGGGAAGTCAGTCCCTTCCTCCTCAGCCCAGAGTCCCAGAAGCAATATACAAGAAGCAGGAACTCAAAGGGACAGCGCAGCCATCTTGGCAAAAGCATCTTTGGGTGTGAGGGTGCCTCCCCTGGGCCAGTGGGGAGGGGAGGGGGAGACAGGCCCCGGTCCTGGGGCAGGCAGTGAGGTACACGCCCCAGGAGGGCTGACTGATGCCAGGGAACAGGCGGAGCAGGGAAAGAGGCAACAGAAACGGTGCCGGGAAGGAAACAGGTTCTTTGTTTCGCTGTTGCTTCTAGATTTTGTTTTCTGTCTCTGGATTGTAAAAAGCTGCTCTGGCGGCCCGCCCACCCCGGCTGGGGATGCACACATACACGGAGAAGTCCTGGCTGCCAGGGCCCGGCGGCGCCACTCTGCTCCGGAGAAAGCCCCGGGCTGGCTGGGCCACAGGCTCCCGGTGGCTTCAAGTGATGAGATTTTCTTTTTTCTTTTTTTTGTCTTTTTTTTCTTTTCCATTTTGTTGAAATATTTACAGCAATGGGGGAGGAGGAGGAGAGAGGAAGGGGTAAGATGGCCCCCTAGGGAAAGATCCGAGCCCAGGACCCACTCCCCAGGGAGATCCAGACCCAAAATCTGCTCCCCAGATAGCCGAGCCCACAGGACTGGGAACTGCCCAAATATGGCCACCCCTGTGGGCTGGGGGCCCTGAGGGGAGTTGTGCTTCATCAGGAGTCACCCCAAGGGAGGGGGTCACTGGGTGCACTTGAGGAGGCTGATGGGCAGGCTTGCTGGGGAGGCAAGGACAAAGAACAGAGGGAAGGAGCTTCAGAGAAAGTTCCACCTTTAAACCAGCAGCCACAATCGCCCATTCCGCTTGCCCGGGGGGCTTTCTCTCAGGCCAGAGGCCCCAGTCTCCAGGAGTAGGGAACTGTAGTGCAAGAGGAACCTGTCTGTCTGCTCCCACTGCTCCTTCCTGGTGCAGCATTTCTGGCTGCAGAGAGGAGCAGCTGACAGGTTCCTTCCAGCAGGGCCCAGGAAACCAAAGCCCTCATTTCACTCCAGGGGGCAAGAAGGTAGGGAAGGGGGGAAGTAAAGAGTGGGTTGCACCCATCCAGTTTCTCCTTCCTTACTACCTTGGGGACCTCTTGGCTCCTCCTTACTGCACTTCCCCCAAATCGAGCTGGTGCGCATGGCTGGTAGGAAACCCTGTCTGTGAACCCTGCACCACAGGCCCCCACGGCAGAGCTCCTGAGGGGCCTAGAGGCCCACGGCTGAAGGGCACCTGGAGAGAGTGGCCCACCAGCCACTGCCTCCATGAGTCTCCCTCTCCCACCGGAGCCCCACCCAGGGTTCCCTCCCTGGCCTGGGCCACCAGCCCCTGGTCCATGAGGTCCCTCAGAGACTGGTGACCAGCTGCATCTGCCCATCCCCATCGGGCCCTGGCCCCTCGAGGCCGGGGGCTGCCAGGTAGCCCTCATGGCTGGGCCGCCGCACCTGGTAGTAGCCCTGCAGGGGGTTCCGGGCCACCAGGGCCGGTGGGCGCGAGGTGTAGTAGATTTCAGGGGGGCCGGGGGGTGCAGGCGGGGGTGGGGGCAGGGCCTCACTGGGCCCCTCGGGGCTGCTGTCCGGGTAGGAGGGCGAGTCCCGCAGGTTGGCCCCGCTGGCGTAGAGCGAGTCCCGGCCTGGAGGGGAGGATAGGGGCCGGCTGGTGGCCCCATCCTCCGCAGTGCAGCTCTCCGACTCATCCAGATCGCTCTGGTACAGCACCGACTGGGCCCGGGGCAGCAGCAGCGGCTCCTCCAGGGCCTTGTAGAGAAGTTCGATCTCTGCCCGGTCAGCACCCCCGGGCCCGCCTGCTTCTTCCTCGCCACCACCCCCTGGCACAGGTGGCACAGGGGGTTCAGGTGGTGGGGGGCCCTTGGCCCCGCTGCTGCTGCCCCGCAGGTTGTTGTGTACCAGCTCTGAGATGATCATCTTCTCGAAGGCAGCAGCATCGGCCAGGTTCCGGCCTCGGGGTGGCTCAGAGGCCCCGTCCCCTGGAGGGAAATCCCCGCTTCGCAAGGAGTAACTGTTGTTGAAGTTGCCGTTGAGGGGCAGTGTGTCCATGCCGCAGGCTTCCCTGCCTCCCAGAGGGTGCTCTGCCGGCAAAAGGGGGCCAGCTCAGGAGGAGTGTGGGCAGTGACCGGGGTGTGGGCACGTGGGAGAGGGGGTGCCTGCTTCCCCGGGGGCTGGGATCTCCTATTCCCATTCTTCCTCACTTGTAGTGGGGACACCAGCCCAGCAGCACGTTGGGGGAATGGGGGTGGGGACCAGCTCCCTCTAGGTCTCCTCCCAGCTGGAGGCTCAGAATCTCAGCAATGTGAAGAGGCCTAGTGACCAGCTGTATTTCCTGTGCTCTGACCATCATCACCTTCATTGCCTACTTGAGGGCCAAACATAACCCCCTCCAGCTGTATGTGTGTGAGGTCTGGCGGGGGGGGGGGGCACCCGAATTCTCCTCTGAGTGAGGTTATCCCAGGAGGCCACTATCGCATTCCCCTCCCGGCCTCAGAAACGTTACCAGGCAAGTCACACTTACTGGGTTCCCGGTAGCTCCCTGTAGGTGCCAGCCAGGAGGGAAAAGAGAGAAGGTGAGCATGTGCTTGGAAAGTCAAGCCCAAGCTCCAATTCAGGAAGCACCAGGATGCCCCAAGCAGAGACCCTCGGGATGCAGACCCCACCACACTCCCTGACCAGGGCTGTCACCCTCTTCCTGTACCAGAGTACTCTCACCTGGGGAGTTGAAGACAGGGGGTGAGGAGGGATTGAAGCCCACCGACTCGGCGATGAGGGTGTTGTAGGGGCTGGTGCCCCCACGGGGCTGCAGCACGGGGTTGGTCAGCAGGTGGTTCCCCATGGTACCTATCCAGGACATCAGAGGTCACAAGGTGGCCCAGAGCCACTGGTCCAGGAACCTTGAGGGATAGAGCCAAGGGCAAGGGACGCGGTCTCACCTCGGTTCAGGGTGGGGGTGCTGTTGATGTCGCCTGCCATGAAGGAGGACTCCGTCTGTTTCCTCACGGTGTCATTCCACATCCTCCGGATTCGGCTCTGGGGACACAGCCCAGATGTGAGCCCCCCACCCCCAGGCTACCCACCCTCCAGGATCTTTCTGAGGCCGCTCGCCTGCTGAGCACCACTAGGGACCCGGGCTAAGTGCTGCCCTGCCTCCTCAGCCCCAGGGAGCCCTGCCCAGATACCTGCGTTACCTGCGTCCCTGTGTAGTAGCGGGTGTTGCTCCGCATGGCTGAGGTCTTGAGTGAGCCGTGAGCGCCCCCGGGTGGGGAGCGGATGCAGCAGTAGGAGTGACGCAGGCACTTGCTGTACTCCTTGTGCACCTGGGGGAGGAGGAGGACATGCAGCTGGCAGTGGGTGCCCCTGTAAGCCTCAGAAACCTTGTCTCCTGTCCCCGACAGCCAGCCAGCCAGCCAGGCGCTCCCCCTGCTCAGGCCATCCTCCTTTCTCTACATCCACTGAGTTTCTCATTCACTCTCTCAACAGATCTTTAATGAGCATCTGCTATGTTCCAGGCATAGTTCAGGCCCCAGGGACAACGGTACAGAACAAATCACTCACACAGCCCTACCTCCAAGAGCTAAATTTTGGTAGAGACATATGTAGATGCAAACAACAGCACACCGTGTAGGATGTCTGATGCTGCTGGGTGCTGTGCAGACCAATATGGCCAGAAAGGGGGTCAGGCAGTGCCGGTGGGTTGGGGGATGTGGTGGGGGTTTGTGAGTTCTAATAGTCCAGGGAAAGTCTCCCTGAGGAAACATCCCAGCAAAGATCTGAAGGAAATAGGGCCACAGGCCTTGCGGATATCTGGGGAGGAACAGGAACAAGCCCTGAGGAGGATCTTGTCTAGGTGGTGGTGGTGTTTTTTTTTTTTTTTTTAAGATTTTATCAGAGAGAGCGAGCGCATGCGCACAAGCAGGGAGAGCGGCAGGCAGAGGGAGAGGGAGAAGCAGACCCCCCGCTGAGCAAGGAGCTGATGCAGGACTCGATCCCAGGACCCTGGGATCATGACCCGAGCTGAAGGCAAACGTTTAACAGACTGAGCCACGCAGGCACCCCTGTCTAGGTGTTTGAGGGAAAGCAGAGGAGAGGATGGCTGGAGGGGAGGAAGGGGAGGCCTGGGCAGGAATGTGTGAGCCTGGGGGCTCCTTTAAGGATGTTGGACAGGAAACTTTATAACCACAAAACTTACAGTTTATCTTGTAAATATTGAAGTAGAAAACTTCTGTCTGGGTGGTACTCAGTCCGCTCCCTCCCACACACCTGATTCCTGCCCCCACATCATAGGTGGGTGGGGGGTTGGTCCTCTGTTACCACAACCCTGCCCTGTGCTCTCCCAACTCCCCAAATCCGTCCTCCTCTCTTGCTCCCCCAGGTTGCCCTATCTTACTCTGTTCCAGAACCCTCTTCACCCCTGTCTAAATCCTCACTGACCCCAAGCCCGTGCTCCCCTCACAGCAGACACAGGTCCCACTACAGAAGGCAGACACTTGGACCCCTTCCCTGACCTCACCTTCTTTTGTAAGGCGCAGTGAAAGACAAAGATGAAGACCCCCTGGAAGGCGTTGAAAGTGGTGAAGAGATAGGCCATGACCACTGACTCCTTATTGATGAAGAGCAGGCCGAACGCCCAGGTGAGGCCCAGTAGGAAGAGCAGCGCGATGGCCCCCAGGGCCCAGGATCTGGGGAGGAGGAGGGGATAGGGATGTCAAAGTCCTTGCCAATGGAGAAACCTCCCCCCGCTGCTGTGTGTCCCTCTTCAAGTGGGTCTGGATGCTATCTGCAAAGACCCACCTGGGGTGAGTAGGCCTTTTGGGGTGGGGGGGAATTGCCTACACAGTGGTACTTTCACCCAGCCTGGGTTTGGGCTTTTACAAAGGTCAGTCATTTGCCTTCAGCCTTAGGCCATATTTCCAGACCCTTAAACTATCTTATGCTGCCAGTTTCTCTTTAAGTTGCCCTGAATTGGACTTACCTTTTCAAGTTGGCCTCACCCTAAGAAGTTATGTCCCCAAAAGCACAGATTGGATGTGTTAATACCATGTTTTCCAGTACTTGTTAAGTAGATACACAACAAGCACAATAAAATACTACGTTTGTTCTTAAAATCACATCTTGTGGTACTGGAGGTGAGCACCCCACGTTTTAGGAAGCCCTGGGAGAGACCAGGCCTGGTACGGAGCTATGAGGGGCAGGGTGGTGGGGAAGGGGAGCTCACTTAATGTTGTCCAGGCGACTGGAGTCGGGCTTGAGCACAGATGAGCTCCGGATCATCTTGTGCAGGGTCACCATGAGGAACACCAGGTTCACCTGGGGGTGGGACAAGGGGAGGGGCTAGGCTGGGAGGGATCCCTTGGGGTCCCCCCACCTCCCAGTGCAAACCCCTGCCCAAGTCTCAGCCTCAACACCCCCTTCTTCAGGGCCTCCTCTGCTGATGTACCTGCCCTCAGGTGCCTGCTGACTGGTAACAGCGGTCTGTTAATGTGGCTCCTGCTGGTGGGAGGGCAGAGCCCACAGCCTGACACAAGGCAGGGGCTCAAATCACAGTTCCTGGATGGACGGGCCTTGGTGCTGGAGCTTTACAGACCTGCTCTGTTCTTGTCCTCTTAGTGGGCTGCTCAGTTTTGATGGTTTTCAAACCAGCCCTCTCAAGGCTTGGGGAGAGTGGGGGCGGGGCTCAGGGGTCAAGGCTAGCTTGCGTGAAGGAGGGAGACGTAGTACCGCCTTCCCACTTACCACGATAACAAAAGAGACCGGTCCAATGAAGCTCCAGATGAAGTAATTGTCCACTCGGAGCCAGCAGCTATAAAGGAAGTGGGGCTGGGGTAGACAAAGGCAGGGAAAGCCCCTCCCTCCCATCCTAGCCCCTGGGGACTCTGCAGACTATGGCCTTAGACCTCACGAGCAGGAAGGCCACTGTCCTGAGGGTCCTGGCCCAAGGGATTCTGCTGAGCAGGGAGCCAGGCAGGAGACACCCCGGGGGATGAGGGGGGGGACACTCACGCCTTCTCGGTGCCATAGCTGCGGTAGTCAATGGCCGCCGCGATGCCGACTACCAGGGCCGGGAAGCAGTAGCCGCCCAGGTAGTAGTACTTGGTGCGGGAGTACTCGCTCTCAAACACTTCCACCAGCAGCAGGTAGAGGTGCACGCCCTCCAGGCACAGCCAGGAGAAGGCGGCCAGGAAGAAGTAGTGCAGCAAGCCCGCGAAGATGGGGCAAGCGATCTGGGGGCAGCAGGGAGGGGCACCACAGGTGAGGAGGGGCTACCCAGGCCAGCGCTGCCTCTCCTCCCACCTGCCTCTGCCCCTAAACCCTGGCCCACCTCATACTGAGTCTTGTCTATCCCGACCAGGAAGAGCAGCTCGGCCAGAAAGAGGTTGATGCACAGGTTCTTGTGGATGGTGTTGCGGTCGGTCTGCAGCCCCCGCAGGAAGCAGAAGGTAGAGATGCAGATGGCCAGGCAGACGAGGGAGATCACGATGCCCACCCAGGTGATGACCGACAGCAGCAGCTCATTGATGCGGCCCTGGTACTGGGGGATAGGAGCAGGGGACGCACTCTGCACCTCTGGCCTTGTACATGGCCAGGCTCACCCTGGGCTCAGCCAGGTGCTAGTGGCGGGCAAGGCCACAGGCCACGAGCACCACCGGGGCTGCCCCTCTGGCCTTCTGCCCCCTGGCCAACTTGATGGCCCCCGCCCTTCCGTAGGTGGCATGTTCACTTCCTCATGCTCTGGGAGGCTTGTGGAGAGATGACAAAGGTGACACCAACTTGCTTCTCCACAGTGCCTTGGGAGAAGGTGGGACCATGACCAGAAAGAACCAGACATGTGGCCTCCTGCCCCGGGCAAGACTGGTGCCACCCCCCCATGCCCACGAAGCTGGTCTTCCCTGGCACTGCCCATGCAGCGCTCTCTAGGATGCCATGCAAAGCCAGGCCAGCAAGAGGGCCTGCCCAGAGGAGCGGAGCGCCGGCCAGCTTACGATCTCTCGGTGAGCCATCAGCACGGCAAAGTTGGTGAGGTGGCTGCAGGCACACGTGGTATGGGTCTTGTTGGACTCCACCAGGCGGCAGCCCTGGGTTGACCAGTAGCCCAGCATGGAACGCTCCGAGTAGTTCCAGAAGGAGCAGTTAGCATTGAAGTGGTTCTTGGCCTGTTGTGTGGTGGTGGCCGGGCAGTCAGATCCAGGCAGTCCCGTTCCAGCCCCCACACCCAGCTATGGGGATGGTGACAGGCATGAGAAAAGTGCCTGGGGCTCCGGGTGACAGTCTGGGATCTCTGGGGGCAAATGGCCCAAGCTGGTGAGGTGGGGGTTGGGGGACTGGTGCCCCAGGGAGGGGTCGTAACTTGCTCTTGGGGTGGGTGAACGCACAGTGGGGAGAATATACAGCTTGGGGACACGGAAGCTGGCGGGACCCCCGGGGGGGGGTGGGGACGCCTCAGCTCACCTCCAGGTGGGCCACGGTGAAGATGACAGGATCCATGAGAAAAACGCGACTGGACTCCTTGTTGATGGACGCCGCGATGACCTGTGAGTTCACCACCAGGGAGGCGCCGCCGGGCCCACCTGTACCTGCTTCACCCGCCAGCTTCACTGTGGCGTTCTCGGTGGACAAGAAGAGGCCCAGGTTGTTGTAGAGGATGAAGACAACTTTGACCACCCCTGGGGAGGACAGGCACCACGGGGTGTGCCGTCAGTCCTGAGCCGGCACCCCTTCAGCCATCCTGGTCACTGGGACCTCTGAAGCCAGGCTGTGGCCCAGGTGAGGGGGATTCGGGAGCCCTTCCACGTACCATTGCTCTGTTGTAGGCAGTTCCAAATGGCAAGGCAGTATGCCAGGACACATAAGGACTGCGTCCCCAGCCCCCACCTCACTTGCTGTGTGACCTCGAGCAAATCCCCAACCTCTCTGAGCCTTACTCTCAAATGGGACAGACCTCCCTGAACTATGAGAACTGCCACTGCAAAGGAGTGAGCCCTGCAAACTACAAAGTGTCCTATGCTCTGGGGCTTTGGGGGGACCCCACAAATCCCCTGAAACGTTAGGCTTGCTTGAATGGAGAACAACTCTGTGTGTGGTTACGAGTCCCACCCTTTTCTCGGATTCTTCAACCCAATGCAATGTAAGAACTGATGTTCTTCACACGTGAAGCGGGGATGCCAGCCCAGAGCTTGGGCACTGACCGTTGCGACTGTTCTGCTTGATGGTATTGGCGGACAGCTGGATGGAGTTCTCGCTTGGGTATTCCTGGGGGAACACCAGCTCCTGCACTTGGCCCTCCGTGTTTAGGACTGTCACCTCCAGGACTGTGGGGACAGGGGATGGCAGGGCAGATGCGGTTGGGGTCTGTCCCCAGTCCAGGGGTCCAGCTATGGCAAGAGGCCCAAGGCTAGGGCATCCCCAGCTGGCAGGCCCCACGGTTCAAGATTTGTACCTGATCGTGATCTCAGGGTTGTGAGATTGAGCCCTGCATTGGGCTCCACGCTCAGCATGGAGTCTGCTTGAGATTCTCTCCCTTTCCCCCCGACTCATGCGCATGCTCGCTCGCTCGCTCACTCTCAAATAAATCTTAGAAAAAAAAAAAGATTCGCACCTGAACTTGCCTTGGGCACAACTGCGGCACTCACCCACATTCTGTTTGGCAGCCAGGAAGCGGGCAGGCTCCCTGACATTGTCGGCCAGCAGGAAGGCGCCCTCCTCCAGCACATCCAAGAGCATGGTGGCTGTGTGCACCTGCTCCGTGGCATTCATGTCCTTCCAGGACTCCAGAGCCTCTGGCCGCAGCAGGTTGTCCACTGTCTCCACCACGGCCTAGGCAGGTGAGGGGGTGGCACCGTGAATCCCCCCCCACCCTCCAGTTCCCTGGGCCGGACTCTGACTGCATACCCTCCTCTCAGCCTCCATCCCCAGTGTTGCGTGGGGTGTGTCCACGTGATGAGGGCTGCCTCACCCCCTCCTTGGCCGGCAGGAACCCTCCGGGCCTCACCTTGATGTAGTCTTTGCAAGTTCTCTCCCGCTTGTGCATCTGAGAAAGGAGATGGAGGTGCTGTCAGCTTTCCTAATGCCAACACGTCTGGGCCCTGGAGAGCTGGCGCTTCCGCAGCTGCCACCAACCCAGGGCTGGGTGTGAGCAAGACCCGATCCTAAGGGACCCTCAACCCTAAGGCCCATCCAAGGGCAGCTCAGGAGGAAGATCCAGTATGCCTAGGATCAGTCCTCTCCTCTCTGACCACCTAGCTTGGAGGTACCAGGCTGGACTCTTCTTGAGCCCTCAGGGTACCCCCCACCCCCGCCGCTGGCCCCAGTGCCGTGCCCCACCTTGTTGTAGTTCTTGCCCGCTGACTCGCGCTCAATGGGCCGCAAGGCCTGTAACTGGGCATCCAGAATGTCCAGCAGCTGCTCCATCAGCTTCACGGAGGAGGACACGTCACCCGCATAGATGGAGCCTCGGGTGTGACGGGCCAGCTCGCTGGCAATGTTGGCTGCATTCTCCCCACTCTTGATCTGTGTGAGGTGGGAGCAGGGGCCCCGGACTCTCAGAGACCATCTTGCTTCCCACATATTCCCTTTTCTCCGGCCCAGCCTGCTTGGCCCCTCTCCCCCCTCCCTCTCTGACCCCTTCCTCCTCCCCATCCGTCTCTTCCTTCTGTAGGCCAGGGAGGGGACCCACACAGTCCTGGCTCCCAGACCTGCCCGTTGGTCTACCCAGTTGCTCTCCTGCCCCCAGTGCGCCCTGTGCCCGGCCACCCAGGGCTCAGTGTGTGAGCAAATGTGCCGATCTGGGAGGGACAGCTGCTGCTGGTACCTTCTGGGCCACCTGGTTGACCCAGGGGGAGGTGCAGTTGCTGAGGTCAGGGCCCCGGGGGTTCCAGAGCCCCAGGGCTGGTAGACACTGGAAGGAGGCAATTCCTGCAGGGACAGACAGACAGGAACAGAGAAGGGAGCCACAGGGAAGGAGAGAAAGGGGGGCCACGGCAGGGAAAGGAGATGACAGAGAGGGGGAGAGGTAGGTGGAGAGAAAGGTGAAGGAAACACGGAAGACCAGACATGAAGAGGGCCAGACAGTCAAGAGAGGTGTCACTCGGAGGTGACATAAGCTACCCCTTACTTCTAAGCTCCCCCTCTTGGCTCCTATTCCTTCCATCTTTGCCTACCAGAAATGGAACTTTCTAGCAAAGTCCATCTTGTAAGCCCCTTCTCCCTTACGCCCCTTCAGACCCTGCCCTTGGATCGCATCACTTGGGAGCATGTGCTCCCGGCCCCACCCCATCTGGCACTTCAGCGGCTCTCCGGACTGCCACTGGCAGTCTCATCCCGAAGCCGGGGGGCCCAAGTCACCTCCTGTGGGCTCCCTTCATGGTCTCCCTGGCACTGCAAGAGGGGACAGGGCAGGGGGACTCACTGAGAGCTCTGCTGCGCTCTGGGAACACAGCTGCAGGTGTCAGGCGCGACCCCTGCCCTCAGAAAGCCTGCACTCTGGCCGGGGGGGCGAACAGGTGCATCTGGGCTAAGCTGAGAGGTGGGATGTTCCCTGGCCCTTCCCGGGCCAGACCAGGTTCGGCCCCTCCCCAAGCCAGCGCCCGTGAGGTGACTGCAGCCTCTGTACTCACCGCGGGTCCCCTTAGGGCAGGGCCTCTCAACCAGCATGCCCTGCTGGGTGGCTGGCCATTGGACCCGCCGCACCTCTCGAGGTTCACAGAAGAGCTCTGGGGACACGTGCAGATTGGGGGCTGGGGGCCGCCGGGTGCTGGGAGCCAGGGCTGTGGCTGGAGGCAGGTCAGGTCCCAGCTGGTTGATGGCGCCCACTGGGTGTGTGGTGAGGGGCACTCGGCGGAGCGGGGTGGTGGCTGCGGGCGAGGCCGTGCTGGTGAGGGGTGTGGGTCGGGCTGTGGTGGTCGTGCTGAAAGGTGGGGAGGTGGCTGGGCCTGGAAGGGAAGAGGGTATACAAGACAGGGTCACCCCATGCCCAGGGCCCCGCCATGGTGTGCCCAGGCATGGGGTCCCTTGCATTCTAGCATCTTCCCCAAAGTGGGAGGATATCCTGGTCCCCCTGGGTCTGGAAGATCTCCCCTGGCCTCTCTCTGCCCCCAAGACCATGTAAAGCATCAGAAGGCAGTAGAAATTCACTTGAGTGTAGCCTGAGGTCTGAGAGTAACCAAAGAGAACGGGCCAGGGAGGGGATGTCTGAACACAGCCACCTCCCATCCTCATTCTACTCTCACTCTGGTCCCTGTAGCCTGGCCGAGTCCCTTCCCTGTGCGGGCCTTAGTTCCCCGTTATGCAAATGAGGCTGGGCTGCATCAGGCACCCTAGCGCCCTGGGGCTGCTCAGAGCCGGCTGAGGGCCGCTGAGAGGGCGAACAGAGACTGCAGAGGGACCCTCACCCTCAGTGCTGGCAGCTGGGCTTTGTTCTGTTTCACAGGCACAGGGCTTCCACCCAGGGTTGCGGCTGATGAGGGTTCCGGGGCTAAAAGTGCACAGGCCCCTGGGAGAGGCGGTGCAACTTCGTGGTCCAGAGTTACTCCTCAAAGGAGTAAACTAACCGCCCCCCAGTGCCTCAGTTTCTTCATCTGTAAAACGGTAATAGCCCTCCCTACCTCGTAAAGTGACAACCGAACGGGTTAACTGGGAACCGCTTAGACCAGCCTCTGGCCCAAGCTGCGCGACTCTGCGACTCTGACCTCCAGGGATCCCCGGGGACCACCTCCAGATCCCAGCTCTCAGCGCACAGCGGGCTCCCCCCCACCCCCGACCCCTGGGGCTGAGGAGGCGGAGCGAGGGAGAGCCATCCCTACCGGCACTGGGGTCGGGCGGCCCGAACTCCAGGCTGTAGCGCACCACGAAATAGTTGTTCCAGACGTAGAGCTGGTTGTCACGAGGGTTGTAGTCCACGGAGGAGACGAACTGGTAGGGGTTGGGGAAGGCCAGGCTGACCGGCTCCTCGCGGTTGGCGTTGGTGTTGAAGGCGTAGTCCACGCGGTTGCCGGCCGCCTCGCTGTCGTCGTCCACGTACACGGAGCGCAGCACGTACAGGACTCCGCACACCATGAAGGCGTTGGACGCCGAGCGCTTGTCGTAGCCCGTCTCCCACGTGCCCTCGAAGCGCAGCGTGTAGGGGTTGAGCTGGCTCACCACCAGGCGCCCGTTGTTGCCCTCGGTGGCGTAGATGACCCACAGCCCGTTCTCGTCCACAGCCAGGTCGATGTCCGTCTTGCCCCCCCAGCGGTAGGGCGACGTGTCGTGGTAGTTGGCCGTGTTGATGACCGTCTCCCCGCTCTTGATGCGTGTGCGCAGATCGTACTTGACGATGTTGCGCGTGCGCTCCTTGTTGTAGAAGACCGCGCCGTCGTAGACCACGAAGCCCGTGCCGTCCACGCGGTTGGGCAGGCGGTAGGTGGTGGTGTGGCGCGCGGCCACGTAGTCCTCCCACGAGGCGTACTCAGTCAGCGTGTCCGTGCGGTAGGGGATCCAGGGCATGACGTAGATGCGGTCGCCCGCCTGCAGCGGGTCCTTGCACCACGCGCCAGACTGGTGTTCCGACTCGTGCGTGGAGGTGGGCTCCAACACCTTCTGCAGGGTCCCTGGGCACACGAAGACTGGGCCGGGCGGGGGGGCAGGGCGGGGAGGACACGGGGAGAGGAGGAGCAGAGGCGAGGGAGGGGGAGAGAAGAGGCAAGTTGGTCACACGGCCTGGGGTAGCCAGGCTGTCCCCTCCTGCTGCTGCAGTCACGGTTGCTTGGTAGGGCTGGTGATGGGAAGGGGGTTTCCGGGCTGGGACCCCTGCCCTGCCCAGCTGCCCCTCTCCCTGGAGATGTGAACCCTGGAGGCCATTAAGAGCAGGGTTAGTGGGGGGAGGGGGGAGAGGTGGTGCCCCTCTTTCCTTCCCTGGCTGCTAGAGACCCCACAGGCTGGGGACAAAGGGTTTGGCAAGAGCCCTCCCAGACTTCCTCATGTGCCTTAAGTGGGGGCGGAAAGATCTCACTGGTGGCTTTGAGATTCCAGGGACTCAGTGCCCTGCTCCTTCGCCATTGTCAAAGCCCCCTGTGGAAGAGCTAGGGTCCAGGGTCCCATCCTTCACCAACCACACCAGGACACAGGTTTTTGTTTGTTTTCTTCCCATCCACCCCCCGCAACCTGCAAAAATTGCAAGGTAGAGTGATGTTTCCGTACCCACTGTGGGTATCAGGAGTGCCCCCCAAGTCCAGGGTAGAGGAGGCACCCAAAGTTCCTGATGCAGCCTGTGCCCGCCCCCCCCACACACCCAGTACCCACGCAATCAGTAGGTGAGGAAGGGTTTTTGGAAAAGTCCAGCCCCTCCCTCAGGGTGCCCAGCCCTGCCCCCAGCCGGCAAGGTCTCTCATGGGGTCTGTTCAGCAGCAGACACTGACACTGGTGCACAGGGGTGGGGGAGGTTGGGGGACATGGGAAAGGAGGGGGCTCCCCGGGGGAGCTGGGGAGGGGGGAGGAGAGCTGCGTGGAGGGAAGAGAGACAAGGTGGGGGGCCTCGGCGAGGTCCTGGCTCCAAGGGAGGCACGCTGGAGACCACCTGGGAAGAAAGGGTTAGTGCTGGCGAGGAGAGAGGGGTGAGCAGAGAATTCACTCCAAGGCCCAAGCCCGACTGAGGGTCCCTCGGGGGGGCAGTCCCAGGTCCAGCTCAGAGGGGGCAAGGGAGGGAACCAGGAGCTAGGATAAAGACCCAGCCCGCCCCAGCCAGGCCCCCCCCACCCTCCCCTACCCCGGACCCCGATTTACCTGCGACCATCCCCGGCTCGGGAGGAGGGACCAAGGCAGCGCTGATGTCAGAAAGGTGGGGGGCCCCGCCCCACCCCCCCATTCCCTGAAAAGGAGGAAAACCTCAACTGCATCTCGTTGGCCGCCGCTGGCCTGCCCACCCTTGCCCCATCACATCCCAGGGCCACCTGCTCCTAGCCTCCCCTTACTGATCCAGTAGGGGTCTGGACTTGGGAATGGTGATGTCCAGATACCCCTCCATCCAGGATGGCTGGGCCTCCCTCTCACCTCCCTGCTGAACCCACAGACAGGCCAGGGGGGAGGGTTTGCAGTGAATTCTCTGCTCCTGCTTGGCCTGTCACCAAAGCAGCTGGCCACCAGGGGAACAGGGAGGGCTGGGACCTGGTGTGGGCTTGGGGGGGCCGCCCCAGTGGCAAGAGGGTCATGGACAGGCACCACTCCTCATTCCCCCACTTCCAGCCTCACTCTGACAGGCTTAGGTGGGGGGATACCTAGCTCTCCCTTCACAGCATCAGGGGACAGCTAGGCCCGAGGGGCCCCAGGTGCAAAGGGGCCGGGAGCACACCTTGTTTTAGGAAGGGGAGGGGAGCCTGGGACCCAGAAGTGAGCAGGAACCGGAGGGATCCTGGCTTGCGTCCTGGGGCTCCACCATCTCCTTGTCCCCAGTGCCCTGAGGAGTTGGCCTGCACCCTGTGTCCAGCACACCTGGCCTCCACCTTTTTCCTCTGTGCCCAGGTCTCCCCTCTCCCCAAGCCAGGACCCCTGCCAGCTCTGTGGCCCCTGAGCAGACACGTCTGTGTGTGTGAGGGGGCGGTGGGAGGTCTCAGAGCCTGACCTGGTCAGAAGGGTGTGCAGGAGGAAAACATGGTTAGAGGTTACCCTGGGGAAGGGGGAGAAGATGAGGAAGGGTCTGCCTGGGGCCTTTGACAGTAAGGACCCCTCCCCAGCACCAAGCTCCCGACACCTCCTCTTCCCTCCCCCCTTCCCCCCTCCTTGAAGAGAAAAGATCCAGGGCTGCGGTATCCAAACCACCACCGGCCTGTAAGAAGAGTGCCTGGTACTGGGTGCGAGAGAGACTCAGGGAGAGAGAGAGTGGCGGGGCAGCGAGGGTCGGGGCCTGGGCTGGCTGTCCAGGCCTCTCTGAGATGGGGGAGGGCAGGGGGAGGGGAGCAGCTTGGAGGGACCCCGCCCCACCTTCCTCGAGGGAGATACTCCACAGACCACCGTAATTTCAAGGCAAGAGCGATCCTGCAAGGAAGGCTCACCCCGCGCCCTGTCCCTGAGGCCAGCCTCGGAGCTGTCAATTTCCCCCAAATTTCAGGGGAGGTCTGGACCATCCCCAATATCCCACCCTGGAAGTTCCTCCACTGCAGCCCCTCCCCTCTCCAAATGCCAGGGAGAGCTCCACCCACCATGGAGTTTTCCCGGTCCCCTGCTGAGGGTTAACCCTGCAAGAAATTACGGTGCTCATGGAAGTCCCCAGACCGGGCCTATACCTCCCCAACCCCCTTCTCCCTGGTCCTCTAGCCAAAACAGCCCAGAAGAAACCCTGACTGCAGCTTCGCAAGTGTTTCAGAACCAGAGAAAACGTTCCCCCACCCAGCGCTCCCCCCACCGTGAGGCCCACTCCCGCCCCGTCGCCCCCAGTTTGGCAGACTGCCCTCCCAGGGCTGGGGGC